TTCGAAACTCCTGTTTTGAAATCTAATCAGAATTTTGAAGCGAAATTCAACAAGTAAATTCTCATCAGAAGGTGCCTTTATGTTATTATTATTCCTAATAGATGTTCTCTATCCACATCTATCGAAATTTGTTATTATATTGAAATGAATGTATTTAGATATCCATTAAGTTGATATTATCGTATTATATAAGATTGGTGTATTTTGAGTTGATGAAAAATCTCATGCTTTTCCATGACATTTTGTCTACTGATGAACTTTGACTCAAAATACTCCACAGGGGTGATAGTTTCATAAAATTACCTACTGAACTTTTTTTTGTTTATAACAAAATCAATTTTCACTCCTACCCACAGAAAATTAAATGAGTAAGTACTATTATTTATTGTGTACGGCAGATAATTTTTTTAATCAAGAGCATATGTATCATTTTGTCACTGAGAGTGAATTTCAAATTCAGTTGCATGGCAAACAATTCATAATTTGTTAAGAATATTGTACATATTGAGGAAAAACATGAAGGCAATAAATTCCCTAAAAAAATTATCGATCTCGACCATACCAATGTAGTCCTGCGTAAGCTTATTCTTGTACTTTAGAAATGATAATAATGGTGAAGGTTCGGGTACCACGTGTTCTTGATTGGAAATGTTATTGCTCGTTATTTTCAGTGGGTATAAGACTTGATGAACCTTAAAAAAACAATTTATCATATTCTGGAAACTATTTCCCCCTGCCTTGTAAATATATTGAAATAAGAAACATTCCAAAAACTAGAATGCTTCATTGCCGCATTCCGTTTCCAATTAACTACATTATTTTTATATCACATATATTATTATTGATAATAGAATGATTATGCTCAACGGGCTATATTTATAATAATTATTGTACGGCTGACTCTTGTTATTGTTGCATTGATCGACGTTAGCGTGCAACATTTCAGTTTTTATTGTTAGTTTTAGTTGGCATCGTCCTTAGTTATTATTTATATAATATGTATTTTTTATTATTATAGAAACGACGTTATGAATATAGAACGACGAAATTACATGTAACGAATGGATATTTGATCCATCATTTGAGTCATTCCTTTGTGAAAAGTGTTTATAATACTCTGCTGAGGTTTCCACCCGGCTATTTTTATTGTCATTAAACAATTTTATTATTTTCCGTTGTATTAGTTAGTTTGAACGCGAAATAAAGTAATTTTGTTGTCAGTGATGATATCAACATTGCTAGCTGAATAGTTTTGTGATCCAACAGATTTATGGAACAAGATTCATTTCAAAAGACAGTTTTTTTGTTGAATAAGTTGAATAATAAAACTAAAAATAACCACAGTAGGGTGTTAAGATAATTAAAATCAGGACATCGAAAAGTCGATTGAAATCATGATACTAATTTTTAAACATTTATGAAAAGTCTTCAACCGTTTCAAAACAGTTGTATTTTCTACTATCAGGAATGGATATTCTTCTCTGTTCGTTATGACATTCAACATGATGTTAAAGCTTGGATGAACTTTTTTCAAATGTTTGACATTATTTTTTCCATTTCATTCAACAAGTGGTAATCCTTTGCTTAATGTTCTGGTACACTGAACAGAACTTCAGCCACTAGTAGATATCATTCACCAATTCAGCTTCCCCCTATGATTTCGGTGGTTCAAATGGTATCACAAGAATTACTCATTTGATCTCCAAGTAAATCATGGAAGCAAAAGAAATATTTTTCTTTTTTCTTTCAGTACACATCGATGTTTTTTATCACCAAAAATAAGATGTTTGTGTACTGAATCCAAAAATTTAAAAATATACTTTACTTAGTCGATTCAAGCAACGGAGTGCTCCAAATTATCATCACTCATAATGCACATGATCTCCCAGACAAGGCTGCTTGTACAGAGTGGCACTGAGCAACGAGCAAATTTTTTTTTTCAATAATATCACTGATTAAATATAGGAGGCAATGAAATTATAGGGGTGAACCGGAATCGGTTTACACCCGGTATATGCATAAATGGAGAATAACCTCGAAAGTTTGGTAGTACCGTTTTGGTATGGTGGTTTTTTCAAATATTTTTCAAACATTTGACCACCAAGTCGCTGAAGTTGCGAATACATGTTGATTCAACTATACTTTGATGTACTGAAATTTTTTTAATTACATTTCAGTATCGTGAGATAAGACTCTGTTTGGAGAAAAATAAATTTTAAAAATACCTTCAGTTTATGAAAAACAATTTGGAAATATATCCTTTCTGTTCGTGAAATACAAAAAGGTCCAGCTACTTTGAATAAACGGTAATGTTTTGAGGTTCAACATAATTGATTGTTTTTACTCGCGAACTCTTGGCAAGTAACGCTGGAAAATACTTTGAATGAATATGTTGTATACATAGCAATGATATCACATCTTTTGTACGTCAATCCTGAGATACACCGTATATGTTGATGGAAAATAGGCCAAAATATAATTTGAGAAATCCCGATAAATCAATTTTTTGAAATCCATCGTTTTGATCAATATTTTTTCATCAATCGACAATTACTTTGTTACATTTCAGTACATTAAATGTTTATCTGACCAAATGTCTGCTATTACCCGATATGTCTGGTATTACCCGACTAAATGTCTGTTATTACCTGATATGTCTGGTATTACCTGACCAAATGTCTTATATTACCTTATTAATATGGTATTACCCGACCAATTGTCTGATATTACCTGATTGGTTAGAAAATACCTGGCCAAATGTCTGATATTAACTTTTCCATCAAAGAAACTATAATGATCCTATTAACGAATTTAGAAGCATTAACAAAAGAATACGGTTATCTTGAGTTTTTTGTTTTTCATCTATGCACTTCAGCCTTTAGGAACATGACTACCAAATATAAAATACATTCATAGAATTTAAAGAGAAATGATATTGGTCATTGCACCACCATAGGTTTAATTGTTACAGTGAAAAGTGAAAAAAACCCTTTCATTTTGAAACTTTACAATAAGATTCTTAAGAATTTGATGAAAACAAAGATGAAGTCAACAAAAAAATGATCCCCCAATCACCTCACATCGAGTACTTCTCAGGTTTTGTTATTTTGTAGACCAATCAAATGCAATTCGTACAAAATGATGTGTTGTTGTTTCACCCTGTATAACAACAGATCTAGGAATGACCTTGAATGATGTGACACTCTTTCTATATCGTTCTGTATCATATATACCTACTTGTAGCAATAATTGAGTTTTGCCAAAATCGAAATGTTATGTTTGGGACAATTGATTTTTGTACTGATAGTTGTTTAAATTTCGTTCTATTTTCGTATTTTGTTTATAAGAACTTTTGCGTTGTTACTCAATAAAGAACTATTAACTTTAATTAATCCCTTTTATTTCATCCCGCTCAATTAGAAGTAATGATTCATTGTTAATTGTTTAATTAACAAAAGTAATGTTGAATCGTGCGTCATACATTACAACAAATAAAAACGCATATACTGTATGGAAACAATAGAATTTTCAGCGAATTTCTCTCTGCAGAATTTAAAAAAATGTGTGCCGGCATTTATTTGGGACAAATACTATTTCATATCCCTTCATTTTTCATATAATTCAGAGGATACCGGTATTACTTCATTGCTACTCCAAAATACTATTTTTTACACACACTATCTTGATATTTCATCTTCCACCTAAGAAAATAATCTGCCTAAAATGAAAGTGGTGTGAGTCATAAATTTACACAAAAATAGATCATTCCTAACTCCTCTTTTCAGTTTCAGTTTGAAATACAATACAACCTTTCCAGATTTATTTATACCAATGAAGTACTCAAAACTTTGTCAAACTAACTCACACCACTGTCATTCCAGCCGGCTCAAATGTCGCTGAACTCATTTTTATACGAATTAGAATCTAGTGATTCGTCTCTCAAAAGCCGTCAGATAAATCAAAAATATTATTTCCTAATTTTTATACTCCGCCCCTGGTTCTTTTTGTTATTTGCACGTGTTTCTTCCTTGTCAAGTGGTTATATCGATGTTTATTACGAATTCCTGCAAGTTGTGCCCTCTTTCGTGCATTATTCATACTAACAAAAAATAACCGGAAAAAGATTTCTGCACGAGAGTAGGAGTGCTTACTCTAGATGACGGTAGATGCCGCTGTACAACGACTAGGTTGCAGTATGAACAAATCGCCATTTTGTTACTTAATTGGTGAAGTATTTTATTACATGTTAACTATGGGACAAATTTCTTATCAATCTACTATCGAAGATTATTTAAATGCGTTTGTGAATTGAATAAGCCAAAATTAGAAACGAGCAGTAAGCTGAAAGTTGGTCAGTTTTAAATGTTTTAGTTCATCTAATTTTGAAAATTTTTCTCTCGATGCGTCACGGTAATTTGGAGATTTGACAGTTTTCAAAAATTTCATTATAGAACTGACAACCCCGATTCCCGATAATCGTTCAATTACAATGTCATCATCAATAATTTTGCAAGTCTTTGTAATGAGTATATTCAGGAATATTTTTACTCATCTCAATGTAACTTCAAAACTGAAATGATAGGGTTTTTACATAGCTTCAAATTGATAACGACACACTTTTAAAGTCATATATGCTCGTAAAACGACGGTGCTTTAAGATTCTCTTCTTTTTTGGAGAAAGCAAAAAGTCACACGGAGCCATGTCTGGCGAATATGGAGGCTGAGGCATCGTTACTGTACTGCTTTTGTGCAATTTCGGATTGCTTCGATCTCTCCGAAAATTTCTCAAAAATGTTCACACGGATTGGCTATTTTCTTCTATATTTTAGTAAAAAACTAGATATTACATTGTCAGTACTATAAAACTATCACATTCAGGTTTTTTGACTTTCATCTTCAAAGAAAGATTGTTGTCTGTACCTTTTTCGTGTAAGATTCACACACATCGATACTAAAAAGAAAACGATACTAATTTGGATATTCCTTTTTCTTCCTTTCAGCAGACAGCTACCAATACCAGTTGCAGTCGATGTGGCAAAAATGCTGGAACACAAATCAAAGTCTGGTTCACAACTTGCGCTTCCGGGAAAGAGGTCCCCTCAAATCGTGGAGACCGGAGACTATGGCCGAGGCGATATTCTCAGTACTCAAAGAGGGGTTGTCGCTCTCTCAGGCAGCAAGAAAATACGACATTCCATATCCCACTTTCGTGTTATACGCCAACAGAGTACACAATATGTTGGGACCTTCTGCAGACGGTGGATCTGGTAAGTTATCCCTCAGTTATTACGTTTCAGATGTCGTAAATCTCAGCTCACAGCAAAAAACATCAGATACGAGGTTTGTTCAAAAAATAAGGTGAATTTTAATTTTTTTCAAAAAATATTCGTTCATCAATTTCTGTTTTGTCCCCTCCAAGGTCGTCCCTTAAGTTGTCACCATCAAAGTCGTTCTCGGGAATAAGAAAAAGTCGCAGGAGGCCAAATCTGGTGAATACGGTGGCTGGGGCATCATCACAGTGTTGTTTTTGGCCAAACAACAACAAGCAATGCCTAGTGAGCAGATGCAAATATCATGAATTGTTTTTCCACAATACCGGACGTTTTCTTCGTATTGCTTCCCGCAAGCGACGCAAGATAATAGTTTTTATTGACGGTACAACCATGTGGCAAGAACTGCTGATGTACTCACGGCAATCGAAAAAAAAATGAGCAACATCTTGAAATTTGGCGAACTTGGCGTGCTTTTTTGGTCTTGCCTCTCCTGGGATATTCCATTGGGACAGTTGGACATTTTTTTCGTTGTCATAACCATATAATCATGATTCGTCGCCAGTTATAACCTTTTAAGCAAATATGGATTGCAATTGACGTCATTCAACAATTTTTGGCAGTTTTTTGGTCAAAATTCAGCTATTTTGGAACGAACTTTGCTGTCATACGTTTCATGTCCAAAATTCACGAAAAAATTGCATGACATGAGCCAATCAAAATGTAGTCATCCTCAGCAACTTCGCAATTAGTGATTTTCCTTACTTCCTCACCATTTTCATCGGTTTTGTTGATGTACTGGGACCTCCAGGGCAAGTGTCGTTATTTTCATCTTCTCGACCTTCTTTGAAAATCCTGAACCACTTGTGAACAGTTTTCTGACTCAGAGTACAATCACAGTATGGCACTGTCAACATTTCAAGTATTTTTGAGCACTCAATTCCATTTTAACACAAAATTTGATGCACATTCTTTCATCCATTTTTTTCGATGACAGAAAATCGGCGAACAGGCCAAACACTTCAACTTTTATGCCTTCCACCAACAAACTAAACATGCTAAACAGCTGAAACTGTAAATATATGTTCCAAACAAGTGTCGAGTTACTTTTTAATGCTTAATTTACTCTAACAAATAAGTTTTGTTCATCTTCGAAACTTCTTCTGAAACTATCAAAAACATTCACTTCCAACATGCTTCTCATTTCTCATGCAACATTCTATCTGTTTTAGATTTACGACCGAAAGGAAGAGGAAGACCACAAAGAATATTACTTGGAGTTTGGCCAGACGAACACATTCGAGGAGTTATCAGAGCAGTTGTCTTCAGAGATTCACATCAAATCAAGGAAGAACCTCATCTGACGACTTATCCAAGATTACATGTAAGGAAATTGATACAGTAGCCAAAACACAAAAAGAAGTGTTCTGAAAGCTCGATTGAAATTGTCATTATAGTTTAAATCTATTCGAATAGTTTCTAATCAGATTGTCCTAAGAAAAGGACGCTTAGGACAAACCAGTTTAGACTAGAACAAACCAGTTTAACACATTGTCCGCCATTTTCGGGACGCTAAGGACGCTAAGCTGAGCTAAGGACGCTTAGGACAAACCAGTTTAGACTAGGACAAACCAGTTTACATTATCCGACGTTTTCGAGACGCTAAGGACGCTAAGCTAAGCTAAGGACGCTTAGGACAAACCAGTTTAGACTAGGACAAACGACAAACCAGTTCAGACTAGGACAAACCAGTTTAACACATTGTCCGACGTTTTCGAGACGCTAAGAACGCTAAGCTAAGCTAAGGAAGCTCAGGACAAACCAGTTTAGATTAGGACAAACCAGTTTAACACATTGTCCGACGTTTTCGGGACGCTAAGGACGCTAAGCTGAGCTAAGAACGCTTAGGACAAACCAATTTAGACTAGGAAAAACTAGTTTAGACTAGGACAAACTAGTTTAGACTAGGACAAACCAGTTTAGACTAGGACAAACCAGTTTAACACATTATCCGACGTTTTCGAGACGCTAAGGACGCTAAGCTAAGCTAAGGACGCTTAGGACAAACCACTTTAGACTAGGACAAACCAGTTCAGACTAGGACAAACCAGTTTAGACTAGGACAAACCACTTTAACACATTGTCCGACGTTTTCGAGACGCTAAGGACGCTAAGCTGAGCTAAGGACGCTTAGGGCAAACCAGTTTAGACTAGGACAAACCAGTTTAACAAATTGTTCGACGTTTTCGGGTTTATTAGCCGTGGTCTGCAGGTTTTTATACCTGATATTTCACCTAAACTGCGCCAACAGAGCGTTGGCAATGTTTATTCGAACACGTGAGCAAACGCGGCATCCAACGTGCAGACAGCTTTCTCATGTTGGTTCAAAATGTGAAAAACACGTCTTTTTAACATGTTCGTAACCTCTGCTATCTCTCTCACTTCAATTCGGCAGTCGTCTAGCATCATTTGGTGAACTTTGGCGATGTTTTCATCGGTAGTTGCAGTTTTTGGACGTCCTAAATGTTCATCGTCTCCCAAGCTCTTGCGGCTACGTTTGAATTCAGCTGCCCAAAATTTCACTGTGGTGAACCATGGTGCAAAATCTCCATACACAGAATCCAACTCATTTTTGATTTGCGTAGGCGTATTGCCTTCCAAAAACAAATATTTAATAACAGCTCTATACTCGACTCACTCAATGGACTGCGCGTCAAAAATGGCTAACTTTGGTGAGTAACTGTCAACAGATTAACAAAGAAAATCACTTGTTTTTATTTACGAATGATGCTTTTTAGTGCACACTCGTATGTCAAAGTAAAGCATGATTAGAATTTAAATCGTATATCACCGTGAAATAAATCGTAATCATAAAAATGCGATTTATTTAACAAAGTTGTTAATCAATTCAAGTTACCATACTTTGCATAGAGTAAATTGAAATTAATTCAATCAATGGTGCATATGAAATAGTTAGAAAAAGTATGACAGCTCTTCTTACAAAAACGCCATGGACGGAAACGACAAAAAACGAGTCAGAAACGAATCCCATCGGGCGATCGTTGTCAAAACTTGGCTTTGCAACTGATCGCCTCTGGGACTCTAGTTTTTCATTGATATTCACGGATTGAGTTTTCTGTGGACTTCACAGATGAAGTTTCAACGAGGAGAGAGAGATTGCATTGCCTTTTCCACCACTGACTTGTTCTCTTTGTTTCTCAGTTTTTGTACTCTGGTTTCAATCTTGTCTGAATATAAACTGACTTCCATTTCCTTGCAGGATGGTGTAACAATCCAAAGCTACCAAAACCAGAACTCTTGCAGCAACGGATCGGACCCCAACAACGTCTCCCCAGGAGCTGCTGCTGCCGCAGCTGTAGCCGCGGTCGCCCAAGGCCTTAGACAGCAGATGTGCAGCATGGTAGCGGCAGCACACAGCCAAAGCACTGCGCACGACACCAACCCGGTGGCTAGTTTGGTAAATTCCCTCGCACTAGCCGGACACTGCGGAAACATGTCGATGCCTCCCAGCAACGGGGCGCCCCCTATGAGCATGAGCCATTTAGCGTCGATGCGCAACATGAGCAGTCCCGCTGGCAGCATACAGGACCTCAGGATAAGTCCTGCTGAGTCTGCTTTGGAGAGCCCCATTTCATCGCCCTTGGGCCTGACGGTGTCCAGTTCTATGGAACCTTCCATTAATATGAATATTGGAAATACTATGGATGTGGGCATAGGTGAGATTATTTGTCAAATTTTCTAGAACTAATTCGCAACAAAGCAGTAGATGATGAATGGGGTATAATTATTTGTGGGGTTCCACAAATATCAGTCTTGGGGCCTACTTACTCAATTTATACAATCGTTTGAGTTGCATTGCTTTGAGTTGTAATAGTAGCGGTTCATCAAGGGTTTCATCATTCATTTGTAGACGATATTGACTAGCTGGAATCGATTTTGTTTGTTCGGGATATTCAGACGGAGCCGTCCGAACCGTTCTATCGGTGATCGCCCTGACCAAATGAAATCAGCTTCAGCTTTTCAGCTTGCGACGGATCTTCCAAGATGTCGCACAGGTGCCCGAGTGTTTTACTTCAGCTTTCTATACGGCGTCGAGTATCTGCCATATGTACCTACAAAATCGTAGGTTTCACCACCATATATTAATCAAACTTAAAGAAAATAACACCTTCGATATTGCCGAACATAAAATTAGTGATTTGGAAAACATTTGTTTACAGAGAAGGGAACGTACTTCAAAATATTCTAAATTTTCGTGATTTGCTGAGTCTTTAACATCATTCCACTCTCAGAAAGTAATTTTCAGAAAGAATAGAGTTCTATTAAACGAATTGACGTCACAACGCTCACAAGGTTCTTAAAAAAAATAGAAAAACAAGCCATTTTTCTTCAAAAAACGATAGAATATTAACATACTTTGATAAACCCACCAATAACATCGTTTGTTTTGTGAAAAAAATGGTATGGGAGTGGCTCCAAATTTGTTTGGAACAATAAAGACAAAACTTTAATGCCGGATAGATCACGAGTATATATTATGTTGACTTGTGGTTCTTTTTCAAAACTCAATATTGGCCAAACGGAGAGAATCTTGTCCCGAAGAATAAAAGAACACAGTAGGATTTTGAATGTGAAGACTAATTCTACATTTGCAAACCATCTTCTGGCAGAGGGATATGGATTCAATCACGACTATGGCGTATAACATGTTAATTTCTGTCATTTTACTGTGTTATCTTAAATTTAAGACCTGGAGAGCTGTATTAGTATTATTTTGCCACTCAATTATAAAAAAAAACTCTTCAGAAATATTATCATTTCTTGTTTTTTCCTCGCCTCTTGTGATTTCTTTGAAGTCATTCAAATAATCTGAACAATACACGCCTCTTGAGTTCATTGTATTTGACAATTTGTCACTTGATCTTTGGAATTTAGATGTGCAGTAGAGAACTCAGCTTAAATTGTAAATTCCTGTTGGTTCAATCGCTAAACTATATCCATCCAACAAACAAAGCAACCGAAACAAAGATAGATCCGTGATTAACGCATGATCACCACATACATTTGTATCTATTGGGTAAAATAAACAAGTCTCCTTACGCTGGTCAGTCAGATTTAACTGCAATCGGCCGGAGAAATTCATTGTTACAGTGTCCGAGTGGTCAGTTATGTTTTAATACTTGTCGTGTGTGCATGTGCGCGACTGTGTACAAGCAGCCATGTCTGGGAAGTCACGTGCACTATGCATGATGTTTTGTAGCCCTCTGTTGCTTAGATGGACAGAATATAGATGGACTTTACATCTGAGGATCTTGTCGTTTTTTGTCTATGTTGCAGAGTGACCGCTCTTTCTTCTACGTATCTCAAACACCAAGCTAGAAATGGATGATTTGTAGGGTTATCGACTATGACTGCTGTGTTTCAATTCATCCATCATCACGCTTTTCTACCACTAATAGAGTGGTTCATTCTCTACCATATGCTTCCACGGCCTAAGAGCTACCCACATACAAATAAACTGAATAAACTAAGTGAAGTATTCGTCTGGTGTGGGCGTAATAAAATTCCAAACGTGCATCTATGGTTGTATTTTTTGGCAATTATATCAAATTTTTGTACACATGGCTCCATAATAACCTAACCGAACCTCATCTTTCTAACCTCAAACATAATGCGCCCCATAAAATGGCCAACAACATATTACTGCCATACTCAGTGCTGCTCTAAGGCAAAAAAGAATTGTACAGATGAAATAACAGATGAAAATGTATGCTTTTCGCTATAATTGTATAGCATCAATGGTCGCCAACACTGTCATTAGAATAATTGACAAGTGACAGCTTCCCACATGATGCAAAGATGGAATAAAGCAATTAGCGCTTGCGCAGGCACTCCATCGTATGTGAAATGTGAATATTTTGAAGTAGTTATTGGAAATATATTGATTTGATTACTATTTGCATTAATATTAATTGAAAATTTTGCATTCGCTAATCTAGCTTTAGCTTATATTATGTATCAAATCAAATTACAACACAAAGTCTCCTAAAACAAAAATCAAGAGGAGTGAGGTGAACTACCAGCTACCATTCATAACTATTTATTTAAAATTCGTCATTTTTTTTCTCACTGTGGATTTATTTTTTTAGCGTCAGCGGTTTTCGACAGATTTGACATTTGACTGATCTGAAAAATAAGTGCTCTGTGATCGTGATCTATGACTTCTATGAGTTCTATGACAGACGGATATGCCTATCATAATGAGACGGAAGACAAAAATAGACAGATTACTCGACTATCGAAGGACGAAGTGATTGAAATTTGTAAATATATACCCTGGCCTCGTTCGAATCAATTCAAAACCAAATGAAGTAAAAAAAAATATTGAATTGTATAGCAATTCGTACAATTGTATAGCCAGGAGCAGCCCTGGCCATACTGCCAGTGTGACCACATTATATCTACTGAAATCTACTGCAATATATTTAAAAAGCACCAACTTACCAACATAGTGAAAATTTGACTTTTCGGCTACTAGGTGGCGCTTTTATAGATATTTGAAAAGCATCACTGAATCTAGAAGGCCTTGGCCTTCTTGTGGTTGTAAATATTCAAAAACAGACATGTTTCCATGTTCGAAATGTAACTTTGAATTCTTTGAAAGCTTGAAAACGGAAAGTGAAATGAGGTTATGTATTATTATCTTCTTCTTCCTTTAATTGGACGTCGGAGTCATAATTCAGAAAACAGTAACAAGCAATCAGGAAATGGATTTTTTATGATCTGTATTCATTCTGTGTTCTGTGTATAGCAAATCGAAGCGGGCATAACCTAGAAACAATGAATTCAAGACATTTACTGTCGCCACTCGCATCGAAATGAAAATTCTATCGCCAAGACGTCTTATCTTAATCTACCGAAATCTGCCGGCGGAAATTCATCTACTGCAAATTTTCAATTTGTGTAGAAAATTTACCGAAAAATTAGAAATCTACCGCATGTGGTCACCATACATGTTGCCTTCCGCTCCTGCCAAAGTTCTCAACTTGACTTCTGTCAATTATCAGTGTTGCCAACAGTGATTCTAACCAGTACTGACAACTTAACATAATAGATACATTAAACTGACTACGAAAGTAACTGTAATTTAAAAAACGTAGAAACAGTTAGGTTTTCACTGTTTTCAAAATTTCTTATACTGTACTGTTATTTCTTGAAAGGTATTCTTTGATAAAACTCATGTGTTTCAACTTTTGAGGATTGTATTCCTATTATAACCTCATTACTTCACAAATAATAATAATAATATTTATTTTAGGTGTATCTGGCATGACATACAAACCCGCCAGGTCGTTTACTTCGCCCCGCCCCGAAAATCTCTTCCAAGAAGATATCGACGACTTGGTGAAACCGATGCATTCTTCCACACCGCACCAGAAGGAGACAATGGCGACCATAAAGATGGAACCCTTAGCAGAATGTCGCGGCGAATGAACCCAGACAATGTTGAAATGTAATGTGATAAATTATTATTAGTTCTAGGGAATTTGAAAACCCGGCATTTTATTTATATCGTTGAGAAAATTCAAATTTTAGTGCGTAGTATATTTTGGACAATTTTTATATAATTTATCTAGAAGCCAAAGTTTCGGCCAGTTCTATAAAAAAAGACTGTTGTGTATATGTATACTATTGTTCTAAATTCAAAATAGAATAAATTTATTCTAGTACGTTTGGATCACACACTAGCAGGGAAGATTTATCAACATTCCCAACATTCGCTCGCGACAATCTGTTTTGGGATTCTCGTGATTTTCTGTTCATATCTTGTTAATAAAATCTGTAGTCATTATGAGGCGTGCTTCGAGTTTACGATATTCGCTCTGGTGTATTATCTGTCGGAAAGACAGAAATGTGACAAGCTCTTTACGCCGGAGGATGTTTCATTATATTTTCTATCGTTTTATATTTTAGAATTTCCCAGTGAACTGTCTAGTACGGAAGCGCAGAAGGACCACATATTTTTATTATTTGTTTTTTTGGAAATTCCAGAGTTTTCGACCTCATTCTCGAAATGTCAATTTTAATCTCAAAATATTGAAATTTTATCACTGAATTTCGAATGTAATTGTGGAATCTTCATATTCGATCTCAAAATTTCGACTTTATTCGAGATTAACCACAAATTTTCGACTTCAATTTCGAATTTTCGACTTTAACCTCGAAATTTCAACTATATTCTCGAAATTTTGACTTTTGACTTGAAATTTTGACTTTAAACTTGAAATTTTGACTTCAAACTTGAAATTTCAACTTTAATGTCGACTTTAATCGAGAATAACCTCGAAATTTTGACTTTTATCTCAAATTTTTTACTTTTATCTCGAATATTTTTGACATTAATCTCAAAATTTTGGGTTCCAATCACGAAATTTCTGCTGTATTCTTGAAATGTCGACATTCAACTGAAAATTTCGACTTTCAACTTGAAATTTTATCTTAAATGACGAGTTTCATCGAGAATAACTTCAAAATTTTGACTATTATCTTAAATTTTTTAATTTTATCTCGAAATTTTGAGATTCAATAACGAAATTTCGAATGTAATCTTGAATTTTGAAATTCAATCTCAAAATTCCAAGTTGAGTGTCAACTTTAATTGAGAAAAACCTCGGAATTTTGACTTTCATCCCAAATTTTTGACTCAAATCTGAAATCTTCTGACTTTCAACTCCAAATTTCGACTCAAAACTCGTATATTCAACTTGAATGTCAACTTGAATCGACAAAAACCTCAAAATCTTGACTTTAATCTCGAAATTTCGACTTAAATCTCGAAATTTCAGGATTTAATTACGAAATTCAGAATGTATTCTTGAAACTTCGGAATTTAACTCAAAATTTTGACTTGAATCTCTTATTTTTCGACTGTAAATTCGAAATTTCAACTGAAATGTCGACTTTATTCGAGAATAACATCGAAATTTTGACTTTAATCTCAAATTTTGGCCTTTGATCGAGACTAACATGAAAATTTTGACTTCAATTTCGATTACTATTATTAATTTTCGACTTTAAACTCGAAATTTCAACTTTGATATCGAAATTTCGACTTTATTCTCAAAATTTTGACTTTAATTTCGATTGTTATTATTAATTTTCGATTTTAAACTCGAAATTTCAACTTTAATTTCGAAATTTCGACTTTATTCTCAAAATTTTGACTTTAATTTCGATTATTATTATTAATTTTCGACTTTAAACTCGAAATTTCAACTTTAATTTCGAAATTTTGACTTCATTCTCGAAACTTCCATTTAATTTTTCCATTCCAAGAATTGCAGACTTGAAAGTGTTTCGCCTTAATGAAAATATTACATGAAAGTGGAGTTATTTTTTAAAATTGATCAGAATATAATGAAATTTTCGTTTCTTATTTTTCTATCCCTTTATGAAAATCAGACATCCGTAATTCATTCGAAAAAAGTAACCTATTTTATTTTCTAACATTTTTCTTGAAGTAAACTTGGATTTTCAACTTAAATTTCATTTGATTTCTCGCACGCTGTTTGATAAGCAATTTGGTAACGTGGCCTATCAGGAAAGTCTCAAAATGTTTTTAGTTTATTAAAAAACCCTCCAATTCATTTTCATTTTCTGTGCAATGGTGGATTAGCAGTTGACTGGGAATACTTTTTTAAGTTGAATATTTCTAAGTTGTTGAGTGATTTCAAATTTTAAATTATGTTGTTCGGTTTTCCTTGTACAAATAACTGAAAAGCCTGAATTTATTTTCCATCACATTCGGTTGAAAGACCTTGTTACCCAAAATATAAGTACTTATTGGAATTCAGATCAGAGCTGAAGTCGGAAAATCTAGTTGTACATCAAAGTCGTTTCATAGGAAGTAAGATAATATATGTACAAAACTAAGGTTAAAAAAATGGTAGCTCGTAAATAATTTTACCTAAATATTGAATGGATATATTCGCTACTTGAACATCCAATGTTTTCTCGAAATGATGATGAATATATAATCTATCATTGATGTTCGGATACGATGCTCTAGACTCCCACTTGTTGAACTGTAGCCACTGTATTGTGTATGTGCAATATGAACAATTTTTATTTTCCAGTTAGTTTAATACTAAAGAATTGTGAAGGGTCAGTTATCATCAGTATTTCAATATTATACAGATTCTACTGGTCTCGTTAAATTATTTAATTTATTCAGTACATATTGTAATTACTTCAAACTTGTAGGTAAGCCATATAAAAGTAAGTATGTACCTTTACCGCTTTGTTCATTTGATGCCCTTATTTCCAGTGATCAGTTCTGTCTCCTTAAGTCGGTCAGTTTTTAGAGGAACGATCTAAACATGCTCTCTGAACGTTTGAACTGGTTCCCATCCTCTAAAAATCCTATATTAATCGCCAAATGTAGCATTCTTTGAAAATCGCAGAGGGAAAATCAACTAAACATTCTTCAAATTAGAGAAAACCATTTTTTGTTCACTGGATACATCATGTTGTTGTTTGGTTTAAGAAAAATTCACTGTGCTTCTACATTTTGAGTCAACCTGTTTCTTTCTGTCATGTATGAATTAGTTTTCCAACTTTATTCTCTATGACAAACTTTAACAATGAAGAAAGCAACTTATTTTTTGTTTAATCATGTCATTTTATCCAAAACAGGCACTTTTTCCAACACCAGACCTGCAGTAGGTACTCTTTTCAACGCGCGTTTCACCAGTTAAGTTGACGTCTTCAGGAAATGAAGAAATCTGAAGAAGCCAACTTGGTTGGTGAAAGTATGGCCGTTCTGGTGTTTGTTTTGAGGTTCCCCTTTTACTCTTCCTGTAATATGTCGAATAAAATTCAAAATGAATGTCTGCCAGCGATGATTAATCTCATTCACAAGCAGGGAAGACAAAAATTATGTGGGAGTCTTCCAAAGAAATGAAAAAAGCAATTATTTCCAAAATAAACTCATAAAGATTGTAGAGCATGCAAACTGGAAGAAAAACCTCTTGAAACAACTAAAAGTCTAACATGTACTACAATTTTTGTACAGAGTTTAAGTTGCAATCAATTGCTTCTATTTTTTCTTCGGGAGATTCGCGCATTTCCTTATATGAAGATGGAGTAGTAGAAAGCCTAAACCTTTCTCAACCAAAATGTCATCTCTCCTCAAAATATATCCTTATACTTTAGAGGAGACAGTTCTGATGCACTGAAGTGTCTTGATAAACAGAAACAGTTTGTGAGGGATTGTTAACACAAAAATCCTCTCATGAATGAATAATAAGGAACTTACAGTTAATGTGCAGTTTGCAAATATTTAAGCAGATTCAAGATTATAATTAGTTCCAAAAATGCCTTTGACTAGTCCATAAACTAATATGGGATAACATCGTCTACATATCTGAACCACAGAAAACATCAATGTTTAAGTCAATCCCTATCCTAGAATAGGATAAGTTAGATTAGGTTATGTTTGACCAATCCCTAACCTATCAAACCTGACCTAACCTCATACTATTCTATCCTAACTTATCTTATTCTAGGATAGAGATTGATTAGGTTAGGTCAGATTTGATAGGTTAGGGATTGAACAAACCTAACCTAACCTTACCTAACCTCATAAATTGAAAATTGACAATTTTTAAAAAAGAAAAACACATTATGTTAACAATTATAGACCGATTTCCGTTTTACGAATTATATTCAAAAATCTTAAGGGAGCAATGTATAACATGGAAACATTTGGAATATGGAAATATTTGGAATTCATTCATGTGATTTGGATATGATCAATATATTCAGTTAAATAAGATGAGCATAAAAAATGTGGACTTTTATCATATTTATTCATATCATATTTTTTGGCATTGGAGGTAATAATGCATTTTCATTTCAAAATTATTCAAATGATGGAAAGCAACATATGTGTCTTTGGAAAATGAGGAAAGTTCATAAAAAAATATTGTTCGTGGAGTATTACAGGGATCTATATTTGGACTTCTTCTCTTTTCCATTTATATAAATTCAATTTCGAAATTCAGCATTCTGAAAAATAAGTACTATTTCCTGAAGGTACAACTTGAATGTATTTCAGAGATCTTCAATTAATAAACCACAAATAAAAGCTGATTTGAAACGAATATTTGACTCAATATTCACAAACTGGCTCTGAATTTAAAAAAATCTTCATGAATGTTTAACGATAAAAATCCCTCTGAGACATCATCTTCCAAATTAGTTTTAGCACACAACAAACTTGATAGCTTCCTCCACTAGTATTTAGTTTTTGGGTTCATTTAAAGATAAGACTCTTTCATGGATTATCCAGATCGATGTAATTCAAAAAAAATCAACTATACGGAACATAAAATAAGGAACTATATTTTTTTGAGGCATATGAAGCTTCCCACTGATTCATTCAAAATTCAGTTGGTACGTGGGTAACGCTTCAAGTACAACATTGAAAACATTGAGGATTGTTTATAATATGAAACCTTAAAATTAATTTTTCATCCACCTTCCTTAGAACCAAAACGGTATCATCATCAATTCTATTTATAAAAAGTATGCATATCTTTACAGTTCATTACAAAGAGTAAAAAATATTGCTTTATGAAATTCATAGAACACAGTATTTTTCATGATTATCAAAGGAGACAGCTCAGTAAGATGTTGACAAAACATCTCAAATCTGCATTTTCGAAAACTTGGCCAGTACAAAATTATTCTAAGAAGACTGTTCCTTTCTATTTGTTGCTGAGACACTCAAAACTGTTTCTGTTTTCAAATTCCATTCTAAGCATTGTATATGCCAAATGTAATATATATGTTATTATGACGTAGTACCGATGATTAGTGAAAAATAGGTGTTGTGTATGTACAAAAAGTGTAGTGCAACTCGAACGTAAAATTGACTTTTGACAGTGCAGCGCTGCTGTGAAGTTGCAACTCAGTTCACATTAAAGTAGCACACACAAAAAAACACACGAAACTTTTATTCTTTGATATTAGTTCTAGAAAAGTCACGGAGCCAACAGAAATATTTTTGTGATTTGTTTAGAATATAGGAGTATAGAATAATGTACAAAATTTATATAAATCTATATATGTAGAAGAAATATTACCATTTAATGAAATTATAAATGCCTTCCTGCCATTTATGGGTCTACCACGCTCATTTGACTTTATGCATCTTGTGACGTGATAATATTTTCAAAAAGTGGCCTTTGAATCTTTATTCCTTTTGAATGTTGCGGAATCTTGGATCTACAAATATCTTTTTCTTTGAAGGTGGGGTTGTAACACTTGAAACTGAATCCAGGTAAAAAGTATATACTCAAGTGCTTAAGAAGTACTATAAACTTTTATATTATATTTTCTAATGAATAGAACAATGACACGGAACACCAGGTTCAATTTTCAAGTTTCACCAATCCCATCCGACTTTCATCAGTAGAAAAATTATGTTTGATAACTAGGCTTAATGTGTTCAAAAAGAAGTAGTAAGTGCCTTCCAAAACTATGACCACTTATGTCATCCGAGATACTAAATTTTACCAAAATTGTGCATTTTGATGTGTTTTAGTGCGGTATAACCCTGAATGGCATGTTTTCTTTCATATCTGTAAAAATTACATTTATATGAACTTTATTACGATAAGCAAAAATGACGTGAGATTGGCGATTTTAGACATGTATTTACCCAAATTTCAGGTACGAGCTTTATTTTAACGTATACTATAATATAGTTCGATGTTAGTTCAGATATAACATAGCATTACAACCTAAAGTTATGATGGATAGCCTCTTTAGTCAGTATGCAATAACGATTAATATTCATTCAAGTTGTGCTACTTATAGAACAGTCGAGAATACAAGCAAACGGTTCAGTTGTACACAGTCTTGAGTTGGTAATGACATGCATGTGCTGTTTAGTTTGTATTATTTTTGTATGACTTAATTTATTCATATCTTATATTTTCATTGTTTCTACAATGCACATTATTTTATGTCTGTATGGTGAATTAAAATAAATTTCAAAGTATGGTTCAGCATTTTCATATGGGGTGGGTCACAATTAACGAATCTTGCTCCACCCCCATTCCTCTTCTTCAGATTGGTTTAATAAACTCATAAAGTTCGAAGAGATAAATGAAGTAATCATAAAAACCAACAAAAATTTACAGGCAAAGAGGACACTACTAAAAAATAAAGGAATCTCAAGTAGCACTAAAATGAAAATGTATACAACGGTCACGTAATGATAAACATGGTCTGGCCAGAACATGGACAACCATGGACGAAGCTACGTCCATGTGGACAACAACAAATGAAAAAAGACGGAGGGATTCACGTCCTGGCATTCACGTCACTCATGCACTTGATGTCAGATACATCGGTACTCCCTGTACAATCGAGACACAGGATAGTTGTGCCAAAAACAACCACCCACAAAGATATTAAGTGGATGTCTTGGTCACGGTGCAAAAATAAAGTTACGTTTGTATAATTAATGAAATGAAACAAGTATTGTGAGTAACGCCAGTAACCAGGCTGGATATCGACGAATTCAGCGAGGTCGTCAATTCGATGAAAGACGTTTTATATTTATCTCTCTCGAGAAGGAGACGCCCTGGAAATAATTAAAGTGCTGTTTTATTTGAAAGAAAAAGTGAGAACACACATTTTTACCCAAGTGTGCATTTGTCCCAGGCTCACTCAGATGTGACCACACTTGGTTTTTATATAAATGACATTCGTTACCAAATGGCCGGATATTCTTAGTTGTTGTAGCCAATAGGAAGAAGAAGATACGTCACGATTATTTTCTTAGTGTTTTTTGGGTATTCAACTTTCCAGAATCTCACAAAAATACAAAGCCAAATCAATAGGAAATATGAAGAGTCCAATTAGTCAGAAACTTGTCATATTCTTGAGTTTTACCTACAAGTTGTAAAACATCTATTGAGGAAAATAAAACTTTAATACTCAAGTTTCTTAGTGGTCAATGAATCGAAAAACAATCTTTCTCTGTTGTCAAAAGAATTCAAGTCATTTACGTTATATTAATTTTAAGGAAAAGGGTGTCATTATGGAAAGAAATGGTCACTTATGTCACAGAAATTTATGTTTTTTAGTCACAGAACAGTGGGTGAGTTTAATATATAAATAAGAACTCGAGTAGCTAGACTCGCTTAGTTCCTCAGTTACATCTCTCTATGTTCGGTACTTACTAAAGCAAGGAAAAAATCTAACAGGTTTGCTCCGAGATTAACGTTGGGATCTGACAGATTTCATAGTTGTTTCTTGTTATGTTTGAAAAAATTGGTTGGGTTTTGAGTACTTTTTGGCTTTTGCTCGTTATTACATACTATCCTTGAATGGCATGCATCGTTGATCCCATAATCGAAGATTCATTGAAAAATGTTTGTATTTCGAAAATAAAATATCACCCATTTCAATTCACAAATTACAGTTCTGTTAAAACGGAAAAACTAAAATTGTGGTGACAGCTAATACCATATATGTCAATTTGTCCCTCCAGATACAATTGCTCCGTTGACTTTGTGGTATCACATCTGCTCGCTCAACACCAGATTTTAAAAACCGAACAAACCTAGTGTTGAAAACCCTTTCAACAGATGAATCTAGAAAGTGTTGCCAACATCGTTTTCCAGCTAAAATACCTCTCACTTTTTCTAGGTCGATTTTGTAGAACATTTGGATACGTGATTTTGACTATTTGTTTCTCTGAAAGGAGCATCATAGACCAATATTCAAGAAAAGTAACGCCAGTGATAAATTGAACTTATTTCAATTCATAACATTAATATTCAATAAATACCAGGTACGAAAGAATATTTATGAACGTTTCAAATACACTTTGAGAATGATAAAATCACAGACACCAATCATGAATTCTTTATTCTGTGAATGACATGCTTTTTTTTCACGAATTGTGTACATGTTCGAAATACAATAATTTCTGCTCCAGAGATCACTCTTCAAAAAAGCAGCTTCTGTATATTAATCGCTTGGTCAATAATTTTGTAGGAATAAGAATTGACAGTTGTCATTTTTTGGGCAGCTTAAAGCATAGAACTATACTTCAAGTTATAGTTCTGTGGCTGAAAGACGAATAACTGACAGATGTCAATTGTCAATTCCATGAACGCCATATTTTATATGTGAAGTTCAATAAAAAGGAAATTAGGAAAATATAAATTTCACAGTGAAAATTGATTGTGAAATTTTCACGTTATGCTGCTATTAATAAGGGGTAAAGATCTCAAAATATCTTTATATTTCATCTTCCTGAGAGTATTATCATTGTTCCTAGGTAGCTGCATGCAGCAATATTCATAAAACCTAATAATCTCACGATTTGCTGACTTTGCTTTTTATTATAAATTAATTATGCATTTTTTTCCTTCGGTATGTGACATTTTCGTGCCAGCCGAGTTCAATAACCTCGTTTCTTTAATTAGATTACTTTAGTACTGTTGTGATTTAGGCGATACATATCAAAAGTGAGATTTTCAAAGTTTTTGTGCTTACAGAATGACAACTGAGGTGATGGCCAATGGAAGTAGAGGAAAATGGGATCCAGGTGAGCCTGGAGTGCATTGGATTTTTTTTATTTTTCAGTATATGGCTTGGTAAAAGTGGTACTTGACTGAATGTATGTTTTTTCATTTTTAGTAGCTAACATTGTTCAAATACTTCATTTTGTTTGGAGAAAACCCATGTTTTGCCCTTTTTATTTGACTTATTGTAATTATAGTGAACACTGAAGCATGTTTAGTTTTCTTTGAGAAAGATAATGATTTTTTGCTTCCACTTTCAAAAACTGCTTTGTTTTTACTGTGACATCTTTCAAGTATCAGTACCGAGTACCTGCATTTCGACTGGTTTTGCTTTGTGTTGATTTGGTTCAATAAATGCTTGAAAATTTTTTGTTTCAATTTTATTTTCTTTGTTTAATCAACTCAGTATGTTTTTATACATAGTGAAGAAATGAGGCCCAAAAAGTCCTACTAAGCTATTTATATCATCTGTCTGTAGAGTATATATATCAATAGTTTCAAATATGGTTTAAAAGGAACAGAACTGGTATTGATTATACAGAATCAGTTTTTTTTTCACAAAATTGTGTACTCCTGATAATATAAAAAGCATGTAAAGAGTATGAAGAAGTTTTGCACCTTGAAAAATTCATTGTGGGGTCGTTGCACATTGAAAAAGTAATTTCGTTTTCGAAGATACAGTACATGTATTTTCAATTTTGTATAATAGGTTTATTATTAATGTATGACTGGTCATCTACCAAATAAAACTGGGTAAATGTTGTTATGTTTGAATTGGCTTTCCGAAAGTACATCTACTGGCTTGTAGATGGCGGTTAGTACTAAGAACATTAAAATTTTTTAATTAACTTGCAGAACATAATATTTCAACACTTACTAAACATTTTATTTACAAATCATTTTGACGATGGCATAAACATGCTCACTGCTCACTTGGTATCCAGTGAAACATAGCGCGTGATTTGTAACTTTTGAACAGTGCCGTCTTAGGACATGTTATGGCCCTTGGGCCTCATTGAAAATTGTTGATAACAAATTATAACTGACTGGGCTGTAGTTGTTCATGATACAGACAAACAAATAATTTTGTATTTATTATTGAGATTTAATCATGTATATTGAAAAATAAAATACATAAAACATGTATGGAACACCGCGTGTCGTTTTTTTATTTTTCAATAGTAAATTATAATACTGATACACAATTTATTGTATATTCTATGAATGAAAAGTATTCATTTGGATTAACAAAGGAATAGACGGGGATTAATAAACTGGAAGTAGTTATACGAAGTTTATATTTCCTATTTTTCTTAATATAATCAAAAATAAAGTAAACCTTGCCTCTAACTTTCAAACTTTCCTCAAACACTGATTTATTAGAATTATTTTCGTTACTAGTATTTATAATTGATAATATTAAACATCTACAGAACCAGTATGTGACCAAATATTGAAAATGTATGAAATATACTTACACATACTTCCTTGAAAAAAAAAGATCCATGTTTGAAATCTAAATTCAACTATTCTAATTATTATTTTGTTGAATTGCGACTTTCTAATCAAGATTTCATCTAATTCCGTGATAAATTCCGATATCAAAAAATGAATTTGAAAGGAGTGTTTCCGTTAACTAGTCTTCCCCCTAGAAACAGCAACAGCAATGATACATAAATAATCCAAGGCGTTTTTCAGCACTATCACGACTTCTTTCGTCCCTCCAACAAGCTAGTAACCTGCCAACAACCGAAGAAGAATTAGGATTTCTGAGTACTCTGTTACAATCAAAAGAACTACATGCCTTAGTGAATGTTCACAATAAAATAATTAGCAATGGCGCTAGCGACAAATTCTTCCCGATGCTTTCCACCTCCATGGATGTGTTGGCCGATGTTCTGGACGAACTGGTGCATAAACCACACATGTCTGAAGACTGCAAAGAACTATTTTACCTCCTGCAGAGGCCGCATATTCAGGTGAGGCGCTTGAGGCAAGGTTTTTAATTATTCTAGCTCAATTAATTCCGATGTAAGGTCAATGTTCACCACTGAAGAGTCCAATTAGTTTTATAATGTATTTTTTGTTATAGGGATTATTGTTCGCTCACGATTCTGTGGCCCAAAAAGACTATTACCCACACCTGCCTGAGATACCTTGTGATACTGAAGAAGAGGAAGAAACTATCAAGATTGTACAGCTTGTTAAGAGCAATGAACCTTTGGTATAATAATTTCTCTTTTTGATAGTATGCTGTACTTGGTTCATCATAATATTGTCATGAAAATTTCGGATTGTCATGACGAATTTTATATTCTATTTTTGACTCAAAGTTTGAAATAAAATCGACCATAAATACAGTCCGTTTTCCAATTATTCATCTAAACGACAAGTTTTGAATTTCTATAAACAAATTAGGTTCAGTTTTTTCAAAGCTTTCAATTAAAATACATTTTTATACAACTGTAATGTACAAATATCCACCAGATATTTTTCAATTTAACGACCCAGTATTTGGATTTCTAGTTAGAATTCAATGTGTTACTACAGAAATATGTTCTTATCGCTAATTAGATGAATTATTTGACTTGTATCACCGCCAAAATGTGAATAACTGTAATATCTTGTGGATATTCAACGGCTCTCCTTTAATGTGGGTTGATATCAGTGATATTTCAAATTTTTCTTTATTTTTCTTTTTTGCAAAGACTGGGGCACACAGTGCTGAACCGATAGTCGTAAGTATCACAGTAAACAAGCATCTATTTAACTTTATCTGCACTCTTATCCCCACACTGTAATGCTAGGCCCTTTCCTGAACTTTTTGATAAAAACTGTCAAAGCGAATTCCTTCAAAAAATAACTTCTCCAAAAAGTCGATGAGGTTCGGATCTGTTTTCCAGAGTGACAGCAAAACATGTTGAGTTTTTGGAAAAGTGTTTTCATTCTTTTTTCCCACTTTCAATAACCAATTTTGATTTTTTTCAATATTTAGGGTGCCACAATAAAAACTGATGAGACGACTGGTAAAATAGTTATAGCAAGGGTTATGCATGGTGGTGCTGCAGACAGATCTGGATTGATTCATGTAGGAGATGAAGTAGTGGAAGTGAACAATATTAATGTGGAAGGAAAAACACCAAACGATGTTCTTACTATTCTGGTAAGGAATTTGATGAGGAATCTATATTCTAAAAATAAATCCAATGGGGAATGTTCCTCAATTTGGGTTGTTACAGCAAATGCAAGTTTGAACAAAATAAAGTTGAGTTCAATTCATGACTTTCATGACTTTTTCAAATTCACTTCGAAAAGTATTCAAATTGATGTTTCAAATGATGGGTTTTAATTTTCAAAGGGATTTGTTTCTAATCCACATATTGGCAACAGCGCCTAGAATGCTAGATCGGAGTTCAGGTTAGTAGTATGCTAGAAGAAGAAGAATCATGTCAATAGTGTCAGATTAAGGCAAAATATAAATTATAGTTCAATACCACCTCCACAAGCCACATAAACAACAGTTGTTTTGTTATTTATTTATATAGAGAAAGGTGTTTAGGTGCACAAAATGTCATATGTCACAGAATGTCTCGGAACTCGGAACATAAGTAAACAGAACAGCACGCCTCTGAAATATGTCATCTTTGTCTCATACAGGTAACAGATTCATTGTCCTTTATTAGCTATAACCGATGTTGCCAAATGGTGAAATAGAAACGAATCCCTTTAAATGTTGAATGCATTATTTCATTCCTCTTTTTTGAGTATTTAAATAATGTTTTGAAGAAAAAAGTTGGAATGATAAGTTTAAAATGCGTTGTTTTAGAACTTTTTTATGAAAACTACTTGATTTTCGTCAGGAGAAACATTCCCCATTAAACACTTTTTCTCGCCAGAACTAAGGCAGTTGTTTTCCACACTCCTTTCGTTAACCAAGGTAGCATCATCACGAGATGATCATCTCCATTGTTTCTCATCAATGAGCACTTTTTTTACTGGAGTATCACTGAAAACGCTAAAATCAATAAAAACGAGGTACCTAGGTTCCTGGTACCTATAAGGCATTTCCTAAAAAACTAAAACACTGGGATCTGGAATTACTTTCAGATATTCAACTTCCCCCCCAAACAGAAGCGACACACACTGTCTTCCGGCAGTCCGAGTCTCTGCACATAATAATTCAAATGACACTGACCTGTAAGTAGTTCATCCCTACACAATTCAATAGCGTAAATTTCCGGTTGAAATACAGTCGCATAGAGTTTACTTCATAACCGGTTGAATTCAAATCTTATTAGTCATCTATGACTAATAAGAAAGTTCCAACAAGCTTGGTAGAACTACTCAACCTGATTACTCCTGCCATACATCGTTCAGTTTGCTTTGAAATAAAGAAAATAATGACAATACGTACAGAAACCAATGCAACTGATTGCCGTGCGACTGGCAAGTCCAGTTGCTTACAACCAGTTGTATGGTTGCATCAGTTAGATTGCACAAGTGTGAATGTTTCTATGAAGTCCTTATGGGTCAAACTGATGCAATTTGTTGCTTGAGTTGGTCGCGTCAGTTGCGTTGCATTAGTTTATGAGCTGCCCTACTGTGTGCAGAAGCTAGAATCTCTTCCTTCCACTCCCAATCACTTCCGAGCAGTCCTCAATCTGCTGCAACCTTCAGCAAGATCACAATCTGACCTCTTGTGGTCAGCCATTGGTGCTCGTATTAGACAATTTGTAAAACATATGAATCTCTCTGTTGTAGTTGGGGGGAACCTTCATGAAATCTTAAATGTGTGTCTTAAAGTGCCCCCTTAAAAATTAGCCTCTGCCCAAGAATATTCCAAACATTATTAACAACTTATTTCTTATTATTACGAGAATATGGTTAATTCGACAAAAGAACGCAGGATTGTGGTCGCCATCGAGAAGTACGAACACCACAGCTTGAGGAAGCAGTACTTAATTTGATTGAAGAACAACCTACTACCAGTACTAGAAAGATTGCTTTCCAGCTAAATGTTGATCATATGACGGTATTTCGAATTATAAAGGAACAACTCTTATACCCATACCATCTGCAACGATTACAGACTTTCCGAACCGTCTTGAATGTAGTTTTTCTCGGGATAAGATTATTAATTTTCATAATTACCACATATGGGCTGATGAAAACCCTCACGCTTTTGTCGAAACTAACCATCAAGAATAGTTTTCTCGTGTGGCTCGTTTTCTACCTCCTTGATTAAATGGTGAGGCATACGTTCAATTTTTAAGAGAAGCGTATCCAGTACTGCTGGAGAAAGTTCCTTTGGGCGCCAGAAGGGATATGTTTTTTATGTATGATGAGGCTCCCGCCCATTTTAGTCGAGTAGTACGTCAGCATTTAACTGAAACATATGCAAATCTGTGGATAGGTCGAGGAGGACCACAGAACTGGCCCGCTCGATCCCCGGATCGCAATCCTCTCGATTTCTTTATTTGGGGCCATTTACAGCATCTGGTTTATCGTACTCCTGTTCGCGATTTAGAGGACTTAAGAAACCTCATCATCGATGCGTGCAGGGTAATCAGAGAGACTCCAGGAATATTTGAGCGACTACGTGGCTCAATGCGCCGACGTCTAGACGTATGCGTAATGTCTGAAGGTAGACATATTGAACATATACTATGATTTCTACATAATAATAATAATAATATGTTATTTATTTAGATCCTACTACAAATACAAATGAGTAGTACAAATTGAAAGTTTAAATAAATAGCGAGATGCTCGATAAGTAAGTGAATACTTGTTTCGAGATACAAATTCGGTGTGAATGGGCATATACATACATACATTGAAATAGGTGAACAAAAACATAGAATGAATAACATATAAAGGTATTCGACTACGAACATATTCAATCGTAAATGTAATCGAACATGTACAGCTATTATAATTTGTTATTATACTTGAAATAAAATAAAATGAAAAAACAAACACTATAATACAATACAAAGACATAGTTCAAGATTATTTAGCTCTCAACCAGTTCTGTTTAATATAATATATCAATCGTTTGTATTCCTGCTTGATAAGAGTGAGACATAGGTGTTTAAAATGGTGTTCAATTTTCATTTTCCTTGAAATAAAAATATGAAAACAAATATTATAATACACTAACACAATTTTCTGTGTTGTGTGTTTTGTTATTAATAAATTAGTTTTGTTTATTACCCTTTAATCGTTTAATGCAGGTATTAACTACAAAATAACAATAAATCCAGTTCGATTACATTGGAAATAAACTTTAGGGGTTGCGTTTTCCACCCCTTACAACCATGGGGTAAACCAAATAAATTACTGGCTAAGTGTCTTTTTGGTAGTACAAAACGTCAGGTTAATTTCAATATTGTAACTTTTTCATTGCCTGTGAAAAAATTGTTATACAAATTTTATGTTGCTCCAATGAAGTTTCTTTATATGAAAGATCCTATCTTTCTTTCGATGAGGAATCACCTCCTTAAATGTTTTACACTTATTCAGTTACACCCTGTATATTTCTGAGTTCATTGATGTGTGTCTTAAAGTTAAAGTATACCTAGTTAATCACTCTCATTATGCCCCCCATAAATTCGCCCCTGTCCAAGGGCGAATTTATGGGGGACATCACTAACAACTTCTCTCTTTTTCTAGAGACCGTCACGGGAGACTTTGTAACTTTGCTTGATCAATAATCCATCACTGTTGATATAGCAATCTTCAGATTAACTTATCAGAGTTGAATTTTTGAAAACTATCATATATTTCTGAGTGTAACATCTTAATTATTATTTTAAGCAAAACTCTGAAGGAACAATAACGTTCAAGTTGGTGCCTGCTGATGGAAAATCTGGTGTGAGGGAAAGCAAAGTTCGAGTGAGGGCTCATTTCGATTACGAATCTTCAACTGATCCGTACATCCCTTGCAAAGAAGCTGGTTTGGACTTCGATAAAGGAGACGTTTTGCATATAGTTTCTCAAGATGACGCTTACTGGTAAGAAATACGCAGTATGTAGTTGTTTTCGGCGAAAGCTGTAGAGAGACAGAAAACGATTTCCCTTTCGGCGGTCGATGTACAGGGTGGTATTTTGAATAATCGAATTTTCAGGTGGCAAGCGCGGAAAGAAGGCGATAGAAATATGAGAGCGGGCCTTATTCCTAGTAGAGCTCTTCAAGAACGACGAATCATCCATGAGAGAAGTCAAGTTCCAAAAAATGGTGATGATGGTAAGTTTGTCAAAAAAGTGTACCTTGAATATGTTTCAGTCTTTCAGCGATCTATAATTATGACCAGATAAAAACAATTATCATGTAATATTTAACTATGAAAAGCAGTTTTTTAGCCTTAAAATCATAAAAGTATGAAGCAGACTTGAAAAAAAAAACACGTTACTGCATAACATTTTTCATTTTTATGAATTATTTACTCTAAAAGTAGTATTTTCTGGCCATTGACCTGAACTTAGAGTAATTCCCAAATTTCAATAAAACTTTCACAATTGCTTATCAAATTGCATGCGCTTGTTGCTTTGCATGGCATCGCTTTGGTGTTTTGCATGCCCTTATTCTTTGTTCTCAACTCTGCAACATATGGAAGTTCTCTGAGAAATAGTGAAAAACAGCCTGTTTTGTGAATGTGCTACTCTAAATCTGTCAAATTTGACATTTCCCGAAAATCCGGTTTTTTGGAAATACCGACAAATGTCCTCTACTACAAATTTGAACTCCCTACTGTCAAAATAGTTGAGGCACGTGTATGACACTTTCTTCACCTGAAAACATGAAAGGGACGCTCTGAACCATTTCCTAGACTACTTGAATGCTCATCACCCTAGCATCAAGTTCACTATGAAGACTGAACAGGACCAATGAATAGTATTCCTAGTTGTACTCATCGTACTAGACTGATCCACGAATTGTACCCAAAACCCACGCCCCAAAGAAAAGGAGTCATCTCTACTCTAACTGAGCGGGCTCAAAGTTTATGTGAACCAGAGCATCTAGAGCAGGGGTCTCCAAACTACGGCCCGCGGGCCAAATCCGGCCCGCCAGTGTCATCAATCCGGCCCGCGACAGCCAATGATTTACTGTCATCAATCTGACCCGCGACAGCCAATGATTACCTAATTGTTGTTACTATTGCTGTGATAAGTTGAAGAAGAAAACACAGAATGATAATTACTCGGTTTTATTTACTTGCAAGGTAAAAC